TTCTTTGATTTGGCTTCCTTCTTCTGTTGCCAACACCCCCTCAAGCTGGAGCACGGGAGTTCAACATGCCCAGCTTGGACATCAAAAGATTGAGCAAGGCAACAAAGCTTGAGGAAGCCGCTGCCATCGTTGTCCAAGTGTCATCTAGACACTTCAGTTTTTTCTTCAACGGAGACGCCAAGCTTTTCGAATCCTTCGAATAATCAGTCGAGTAAAGGAACGCCATTCTTCTCGAACCTTCACCGTATTCAAACAAACAGGGGGAACGCCATTCTTTTCGAACACCCTGAACGCCGACTTTTTTTATTTCTTGCAAAGGAAAGAGTTGTCTGTCTCTGTAGAACAACCCTTCTCAGACAACTTCTTTAAGATTGATGGTTGGGCGGGATTCCTCAACAGCAATGTTTCCAAGCACATTTCTCGAATCTCATCAGTGTTGAATGAAGACTCAAGATCTGATGAATCTTCTTCCAGATCTGATCCCCACTCAATTCCATCTGGCAGATGCTCACCCCCTAGGTATTTTTTCTAGAAATTCCACGAAGGATCAGTGTCAGATGAACTTGATGGAAGCGGATCAACATGACGTTTCAAGGCAGTTATGGATCGTTTGTGCTTGCCCAAATATTTCTGAGTACGATGAGGGTTAGGTTGGTCCTCATCGCTATCAAAGATCAAGCGAAATGAGGGCATGCTCAAATCTTGAGAATAGGATGCAGCCATGAAGCTGATCCGATTCTGAAAAGAGAAAGGTGATGAGAGGAGAATAATAGCCCGGAGAACCAAGGGCGGATCTTTCTAGATCAGGGGTGGGGTTGTGACGATGGGATGGATAAGGTGGGAGAGGGGATTGGGTAAAATTAGGTTTATGGGTAGTTTAGAAAAAAAAGTGAAAGAGGGAGTGTTTTAAGACAAATGAAAAAAATGAAAGAAGAAGGGTTTTAGGAAACAGAGGGAATAGTGTGTGTGTGTGTGTGTGTGTAAAGTTGGGTTTATATGTTGTGATGTTGATATGTGGCATGCCACATGTGTATCCACATGTGCACCCATTAATGAGATGAATGCATTTCATTAGTCCAATTATTTTTAAAAAAAGAACTCTTTTAATACATTTGTATAAAACCTTTTCATTTTTTAACAATTTTATAAACATATATTTCACCATTGTAAAATATACTACACACACACACACATACATACATACATATACAATTATTTTTATACCATTCACTGTTAATTTTAGTTTATTACCTTCTAAAAAATAATTATATAAATTTAATCACATATGCATATTTATGAAATAAATAATTTGCTTCAAAACTTCTATCTCATTAAATTATTTATTTTTTTACTACGTATATTTTTCAATAAAGTAAATAGAATAAAGTTGGTTTAATTGAAGGGTGACAAGTGACATTATGTCACATCTCAAATTATGTATCATTATTTAATTAGTCCATATTTTTATTATAATATTTTGTTAATTAAAACCATTTTCATTAGTGTGTACTTCATTCAATGACCATTACTTTTGTATAAAATATTTTGTTTATAAATTAGCATAGCAATATATATTCCACCAGTTTAAAACATATTCTATCACTATTAGAAAATTAGAATAAAAATAATTATATTCACAGAATATCAAAAATTTAGAATGTATACGAGCTCCTGCGAAGCACGTGATTAACACTAGTAATCTTTAAAAGTTGTAAGAAAAGGATGCCCCTTACCGAAATTTTGAAAATCATGTGGGCTTCCACCTGGCTTTCTAGTACTATTAGACCATGTTCCGTTCAACTTATTTTTTTCTGCTTTTTTCTTATTCTTACTAAAATTAGATCAGATCTAATCAGATTAGATCGGATCAGATCCAATCAGATCACACCAGATCAGATCAGGTCAAGAATTATTATTATGATCATCATCATCATCATCATCATTATCATTATCGTTATTACTCCACACTTTTTACTTGTTTCGCTTGATACGATTCTTTATTTCAAAAAATAAATTTAATTTCTCTTTAAAAAATATAAGAAGAAAGAAAATGAAATTTTTGTACGATTATAATTTATGTAGAGAAAAATAAAATGATATGAAACACACTGTTTTTAAAAATGAAAAAGAATAAACTTTAGAAACAAGTTAAATAGAAAACTGAGAAAGTAATCCTTAATTAGTAGACGTCGGAAAAATTATTTTTAAAATACATTGATAATGTTAATCTAATTCTACTTTTAAAATACATTTTTATTGCTACATGTAATTTGAGTTTCCAAAGTTATAACATTATAAAATATGAATGAAAAAATATTATGACATTATTTTATTACATTATAAATTTGGGATTCAATGAGTGGGATTGAAGTGAATATGAGTGTGTAACATTTTATGCAATGTATTATTTAAAGCATACAACCCTTTTTAGTCAAGAACATCTAGCATGTAATAAATTATTATACAAGATGCAGAAAAATATATTATTTCTTTGCTTAACATTGATATTTTATAATGATGAAATATTTTAATAAAAATACTATCTCTTATCTATATTGATTACCAAATTTAATTAATTTTTAATGTATATATAAATTAAAAAATTTATTCTAATGTATATATGAACTAATCATTAAAATATTAAATCAATATTCTTATTTCATAAAACAATAATCATAAAATAAAAATTATTTTTACATTATAATATGAATGATTATTCTAATATATGAATCAACTAATTTTATTTCATTAAAAAAATAATCATAAAATAAAAAATATTGATTATATTATAATATGAATTATCATTACAATTTTCAAAAGTTCTTATAAAGTCAGATCAAATTCTTGATTTTAATTTTAAATAAAATCATAATTAATCAGATCAAATCAGATCCAATCAAATCCAATCAGATACAATCAGATCAGATCCAATCAGATCATGTCAGAACTACAAAAAATCAGATCAGATCAGAAAAAATAAGCTGATTGGAACCTAAATGTGACATTCCATATGAGTTCTAAATTAACTTGTAATTTCTCTTATATGTGATTTACTTTGTACTTGACACATATAACATTAAGTTCTAACAAAGTTAACCAAGTATTGGATAAATTACAAGTCATATGGAATGTCGCATGTACACTAGAAACCCAAGTAGAATGCCACATGTGCACTCACCGGCCAAATTGTTAAAATTTCGACAACGAATACCCTTTTGTTATATTCTTTAAAGATGAAGTAACTTTTTGTTATAAGTTTAAGATGATGTATTTTTTTGTTACAATGCCCAAACTTGGGTACCTATCTAAAAAAGCATTCCGATCCCAAACGCAACTTAATTGTCAAAGCTTTTAATCATATGCATAAAAAAAGTGCTTAATCATAAAGTAAAGAATGACATTAACTTAGACGTGTAAAGTTAAATGCAATAGTTGTTACATTTTTTTTCACTTACTTTTTCAAAAATGTAATTATTACAAATCCAAAAAAACTAGATTAGTGATAACAATTTACCCAATTGACCATAAAGACGTTAACACTTAATATAGCAGGTTTGACGTGGGTTTGAGTTGACGGGGCTTGATTGGGTGTAGAAGAATATGATGTAGAGTGATAAAAATATGTGTGTTATGGTTGTGTGAAAGTGTGAATTATTTTAATCTGGGCATGTGAAAATATGTTAAATTTTGTTTGGTTTAATGAAAAAAATTGAAACAGCCTCTCTACTTTTAATAAGAGTAAGGTCTCCGTACAAACTCTCTCCCCAAACGCTACTTTTGTTGGATCTTACTGAATTGTTAGTGAAAGAAATAGAGCGCATTGCCTGTGATGGCGGTCCCCTCTCTAGGGTCACGCCATCGTCACGAAAGAAGTGGCGCGGTAAATTGGACTTGATGGGGCATGAATGAGGATAACATCTCCCTCGTCATAATACAAGTTCTTGTGGGGCGCTTGACCACCGCTTTGTGGCATGCTCTCCCATCACCCCCATTACTTGAATACTCTCTCTGTCCCGAAAAGATCAATTTGTTTCATTTTTTGTGCATCCCATAAAACACTTCTAATTATATCTAAAATGCCTAAAATTTACCATATTTACCTTTTATTATGGGTAGAAATTGTTTTAAAAGTTTTTTTGACATTTAAGACGAGATAAAAGTCTTTTATGGGATATGTAAAAAATGAAATGGATAGATCTTTTTGGAACGGAAGGAGTATGTGTTATCGTGGGACTTGACGAGAGCTTGACTATTTTTTTGTTTTTTTTATTTTGTAGATAACCTTTTCGTTAAAAAAAATAGGGGAAAACCCCAGTATAATTTGAAATATAATTTTACATTAATGAAAAATTATGCAATACAATTAACCTTTAAAAAAAGAAAAAAATACCTATACTCTACTTAAAAGCAAGGGAAGTCGGGCCCAAATTTTTCCATGGAGTTGTGCGCTTTACACCATCGATTTCTTTCTACAAATAGATCTACGGTGCTAAATAAACATGGGAAATATGCAAGCATTTGGGTTGTCCAGGCCAGTACTTCGTTTTCCTTAATTGTGATTAGGCAGCATTAAATTATGCATTAATTTTTACTAATTTCAAGCGTGTTTGAAAAATAATTTCATTTATACCTATTATCGCAGGTCAATATTTCCTTATTTAGTTAAATAAATGGGGGAAATGCCAAATATGGTACTAAAACAATGCAAAATTCCTAAAGTAGGACCACTACCACCATAAATATTTTTTTAATGACTAGAATGACTAAAATAGCTCTGGCCGCTGGATTTGGAGAAAGGGAAATGCCAAATATGGTACTAAAACAATGCAAAATTCCCAAAGTAGGACCAGTACCACTATAAACGTTTTTTTAATGACTAGAATGACTAAAATAGCCATGGCTGCTGGATTTGGAGAAACGCAAAAGACGCAATTTTCGAAAATCGAGAGACATTTACGAGCGAAGCCATCTATAGAGAAGCGAGTTAATCGATCAGGGCATTAAACAATCCAGGCTATCCTTCTCTCGATGCAGATCTATAGGAGCGAATCTAGAGAGAGAGCGAATCTAGGAAAGCGATAACAATGGCTTCAGTAAATCAATTTTCGATGAAGGTAACAATGGTTTCTAAGAAAGGTGAAAGCGAAGACAATGATTTTGTGCTGAGGGAATCCGATGATATGCTTCTGACAATGCCTAATGGACTGGTAAGCTCTGAAATTTACAATTTAAAGCTGATCAACATGAATTAAACTTTATGAAATTGATTGAAGGCTTGCATTCTGTTATAGTGGATTGAATTCGATAGTTATGAGCTTCAATTGTGGTTGTGTGTAATAAGGATAATATCTGCTAATGTCTACCTGGTTTATTATAAATTATGAGACTATGTGTTTAATTGGAGTATTAATGTCTGTTAGGCATTTGAATGAATATAATGATATTTATGGAGATAGAAGTAAGTATTGAGGGCTTATGACTAACATAAAGCCCAAGGGATGCTAGTGGGATCTGTACACTTGAATTGTGGATGTCTATGATGTGGACAAAGTTTATTCATGTCTACATGGTTTACATGGTTTTATTGTAATGATGAGACTGTGTCTTTGGTTAGTGAATGAATGTCCTGTTAGGCATTTAAATGAATATAATGACATTTTTTATTGAGACATAAATTTTGAAGGCTTATGAGTAGCATATAGTCCATCGGATGTACTGTGCATTGAAATGATGATAATGCCTACTAATGTCTACATAGTTTATTTGAAATGATGGAACTGTGTTCAGTTGGTGTATTAATGTCCTCTCAGGCATTTGAATGAAAAAAGTAGAATAATTTCGAATGCAATTTGTGTTGTGTTTTGGAAACGAATTGAACAGAATTTTGTTTAATGTGACAGGTCTATAAACGCCTGTGTAAGCCGAACCTATTGGATACAAAAACTGAAGCTAAGATAAATTCATATTGCAATGTTGGTAATGGGGTTAAGAAGTTGAAAGAAATTCTTTCAAAAGAAGAACTAAATGAAATTTGAGAGACTGCTTTTGGATATTGGTTACACATTAGAGAATTGAAATGTGTTAATGGCCAACTCCTCATTCTTCTCACACTCAACCATGTGGAGCCGATGAACAGAGTGCATGCCTCCAAAGAAATTTCATTTTCCATTGGTGACAGACTGATTAAATTCACAAAGAAAGACTTCCAGGAGGTGAGTGGTTTAAGGTTTGGGAGCAGTAGTGAAAAAATGGAGAATTATACAGAACCTAGTGACATAAGTAAAAGATACTTTAATGGTCAAATCAATATGTCAAGGGAAGATGTGAAGATTGAATTTGAGAGGGTGAAGAGAAATAAAAATAGACAAGCGTTAGATGTAGTGAAGTTGGGGCTCTTATACATGCTAGGGGCCTGTATAATTGGTAACCAGCCAAGTATAATAATTTCTTTTATGAAAAATAACAATTTACTTTGAATTCTTATATGCTAAAATAATTTCTTTTTTGTTATAACAAGATAGTCCTTAACAAAATCTAATTCTTATCTTTTTTTTATTTTTAAGAAGAAACATATTACCTTTTTTAACATTACCTCATATTGTCATTCTCGTCTCACATCGAAATAAAAAAAACCCTCATTCATCCGGGTCTGCAGCCCCTTCTGAATTCGGTTGTCATTCCATCGATCAACGCAATGATTAAATATTGAATAAAATATTTTATTATTATTTTTGTTTATATATGTTTTTAAGGCTTATTAGTTCACTAAAATACATAAATTGAATAATCAAACCCTTTTCTTAACCATACTTACACTCAAATCTAAACCAAATTGATTTTAGAATTCATTATGGACAATATTTAAAATAACTCAACAAATTAAATTTTTAAAATCTCCAATGTAGTTTATCATTTTTCTATAACAATCAATTCTTGACACAATATATTTATTTTAAAACCAACTATATCTTATTATGTTACATAGTAAAAATTAACTTTTTTTTTGCAAAACGTGGAATTAGCAATGTAAAATTTTAGCAGCCCAACTCCAAAACGATTGTTTTGACAACACCTTATTTTAAGTCACTTATGCGTTTGGTCAGAATGTGACGCAATATTTTTTACATAACATGATCGCACAAGCCGCCATGGGTAATTGTGAATTATCACCCTTTTTTCTATTTACTTCCTTAAATCACTAAGCGTACGTATTTTAAATATATATCTTAATTAAAAACAAATTGAATAATTAACATTCTATTACAGGAAATTATCACAATAACATATAGAAAGGATACAGAGTTACCTTTCGGAGCAGTGACGTCGCGAACTGTGGATGCCCGACACATGTATATAGTATGTGTTACAATAATAGTTTTTTTGTTTCTTCGAAAAATAATAATATCATTATACACACACACACACACACACATACATACACACACACACACACATACATACATACATACATACATATAGATATATATATATACATACATACATACATACATATATATATATATATATATACATACATACATACATACATATATATATGTATGTATGTATGTGTGTGTGTGTGTGTGTGTCTATATATATATAAACTATATTTATATATAGTTATATATATACTAAATTTGGAAAACTCTTTTTAAATATATATATCTTAAACTGAACTAGCTTAAGGATTAGAATATCTTGAACTAGAATTAGTTTAAGAATGGAATTGGTCTTAGACTAAGGATAGTTTAAGGATATTGTTGAATATGAATGATGAATATTTGATATTGAATGATGAAAGTTGAATAGTGTATAATTGAATTGAACATTATATGCATGATATCAAATGGTTCAATTATGAATTGAAATTCAATTTATGTGGATGTTCGACGCTTTAGATATGCTTACTCAGCTTCACCGCTGACCGTATAGTGTGTTTTATTTGCTACACGTTGGTAGGCAGAATGAATCATTGGCATATTTCTAGAAGCGGAAGGGGCGAGACAGTCGTGGTGGATTTATTGACAAAATAAATAATTATGTTTGTTGTGAGAAATGTTTAAAAGTCACTTCTGCATTATTATTAAATACTCCGTATTTTCTATAGTTATGTATGGAATTTTATTTATGATGAATAAAGTTATTTGAAATGTTTTAAATTTTTACAATTACCAAGTTAAATACTTTAGTCCGAAAGGGGCTGCAGACCTGGACGGATTAGGGTGTTACAGGGCTCTCCTTCATCAAAGGGAGGTCAATCACACTCCTTCCCTGCCCATTATCTTCTCTCTCTCAAGAATTCTTATATTTTTGTTCTTCAATAAGCTTTTAAGCTTCCATTAATGGCTTCCGAGCCCAAATCATGTATCATGTACAACCCCCGATATAAATAAAAATCCCACATTGGCAATGTACCGCAAAAAAAGGTCCGTGATTTTCTATCGATTGGGTTTCCACATCAAAAATCTTGTATTTATATTTTGGTGAATTTTTTTAGACTAGTTTATCGTTCTAGCCCGGCTAAGAACGATATTCCGGTCGAGATAATTTACACCATCACCATCAATCTGAGTTTCGTGCCACAAACCCAAGAGGAAGTCAAGAAGTTTTTAATAGAGTGCATTCATCATTAAGAAGTTGCATTGAGAGAGATTTTGGTATTCTTAAAGCTCGATGGAAGATATTGCAAAGAATTCCATGATATTCATTAATGGATCAAGACAAGATTATTTGTTCGTGTTTTGCTTTGCAGAACTATATTCGAATAAGCACAATTAGTGACCCGGCTTTTCAACTGGTTGATGATGACCGTAATTTTGTACCCTTAGATGTAACACTCCAAAACATACCCTAAAATTATTAATCAATAATTATTCAATTAATCAAATTTGTTTTGATTAAGATAAATTATTGTTGGGCTTTGAGCCGATACAAAATGTGTTTTAATATCCAATATCAAAATCTGGATAAGTATCATAGAGATAAGTCCAATATGTTGACTATTTGTGTGGTCTTGATTGGGAACCTGATTACATACCCAAATCAAGAATAAATAAAGAAATTATTTATAATATGAACTTTAAAATGATTTATTGAAATAAATCATGAGAACAAATGATATGAATTAAATGTGAGAACCTTTTATAAGAAAGGTCAATTAAACCAATTTGACTCTGTCAAAGTCAAACACCCAAAAATATGATGTCGGAAAAAGTATTACAAATGATTATGAAAATTATATCGTTGGATAGAATTCGACTGTCTGATCGCAACGGTGTAAACGGATTTCAATTCGGAGAAAGTTGGACCAAAAAGTGTACCCCGACTGGAACCAAAATTGGTCCCAATCAGGGAACTGTTTAGACGGCGCCTCCTTCCCCACTACGCCGATCGCAGAATCGTGGAGTCACCATAGTTGTCTTCTTCTTCTTTCCTTCTCATTATATAAGAGAACCCAACCTTCTCATTTCTTCACCATTCTTCTTCATTCTTCTTCCTAAGTATTCATGAAAGTGTGAGGAGTGTTGTGGTGCTGTCAATTTGGTGTGAAGTTGCTAGAGTTGGGAGAAATACTCACTGGAAGTTTCACCAGAAAATTTCCAAAACCTCTGTTAAGCTTCGAGGTAAGCCTGTAGATATATCTAATGAATAGAATGTTCATATAGATCGTTTCTACGTTCATAAATGGTCATTTGGTTGAGTTTTGTATTTGACATGCTTGAAGAACTAAGAATCACAGACCATGATTTTGATGTTAAAACTATGAATTAATTATGCCAAAATGATCTATGAACCTTGAAGAATATTTTATATACTTTAATTGAAGTTTGGGGAGTAAAAATGACATTTTCGTAAGTTGACTCGAGGTAGAAGACGATGAATAGTCGACTATCAACTTAAAAATCGACTATAGCTCATTCTGCAGATTTTTGGAACTTAGTTGAGCAACAGTCGACTGTCAGAATGTGACAATCGACTGTCAGCCTTCTCTGAGGTATGATAATCGATTATCAGAATGTGATAATCGACTATCAACCCATTCTGAACATCAGATAGTAGATTATCAGAAGTGATATTATCTCCCTACACTATTGAAAAAAATGAAGCCATCAGCTAATAATTGAATTTCCGATCATATATTAATCAAATATTGTTTAGAAAACATGATTTTTGAACTATGGAATCTTATTTTTGATATTAATGAATTATGATTAATGTAAAGATGATTTGTTGGAATATAAATGAAGTTTTGACAACTAAAAGGATCTTATTTGATGCATGACGGTAAGCTAGGGTGTTAACACTCGACGCTAGGCCGCTATTTGTTAATAAATGTTACTATGACTATTATGATCAAACTTGATAATATTCTGAATAAATGATTATTATAATAGATAATGGATTATCATTGATAATAATATTGATCATTATGATTATCAAATGGACGACCCGGGTGATTATGACTACATAACGATCATGATTTTATTCTAACAAAATAATAGTGTATGGAATTAAATGTATGAACCGTAAAGATGAAATTATGAATAGATATGTTTGTTTGACTATCTTGAATTAAATTATGATTATAAATTATTGAAACATAATTCAAAATGAATATATTGATAAACAAGAAAATGATGTGTATTGTTAAGGATATCTAGAAGAATTTTAAGATATACCCATTAGCTAATTAATGTTAAGACTATCTAGAAGACCTCTAGAATAGATCTTAGAATGAACTTATGAAAACATGAATAGTTGATGAATTAGATATAAAAGCATAAACGGGATTCGTAGACCAAACTAGGGGATTACTTGTTTGGGAATGCCCGATCCAATGTTGACCAATCGCTATGTTGTTGTTGCCTTAACTGACTACAGTTAAGTGTCCGAAATCATTTGCCTTAAACTAATGATAGTTTAAGTGTCTGGTTGCCTTAACTGACTACAGCTAAGTGTCCGAAATCATTTGCCTTAAACTAATGATAGTTTAAGTGTCTGATTAATAATTGTCTTACTAAGAATAGCTCAGAGCATTGTTATGATCTGGCCTTAGACTAAGAATAGATAAGAACATTGTTATATTTGGCCTTAGACTAAGAATAGCTAAGAGAATTGTTATTATTTGGCCTTAGATTAAGAATAATTTAAAGGCACTATTGGAATAATATCTGAATTGGATAAAATGTGTTGATAGGAACTGAATAATATCAAAACTGTGAATGTCTGAAATGAACATTGTGTGCATGATATCAAATGATTTGATTATGAATTTAGATTCAGTTTATATGGATGTTC